GGCAGGAACAGCAGTCCTGTGCTGGTTCTGGCTGTGCAACCAGGGCAGAGCACAGGCCAGAGCAGTTACTATGTCCATGTTCTAGTCTCCAGCCAAAGGCAAGGCAAGCAGGCAGGGCTCCTGGGTTATAGGCTGTCCTAATTTGCTTTCTATTGCCATGATAAGCACCACAACCAAAAGCCGCTTGGGAGGATGCTGCAGGCTGTAGAAATACGTAGGGGCTGGATCCCAGTAGTCTTTGATAGGAGGAAAGGGTTTATTTGATTTTACAGATTACAGTCCATCATGAAAGGAAGTCAGGGCAGGAATTGAAAGCAGGAACCTGGAGGCTGGAACTGAAGCAGCAGCCATGAATGAGTGCTGCTGGCTGGCTTGCTCCCCATGGCTTGTTCACCTTGGTTTATTATAACACTCAGGACCACCTGTGTAGGGGTGACACCACCCACAGTGGGCTTGGCCCTCCCCTATCAATCATCAGTTGAGAAAATGTCCCCATAGAATTGCCTGCAGGCCAGTCTGATAGAGACATTTTCTCAATTGAGGTTCCCTCTTCCAAAATGACCCTAGCTTGTGTCAGGTTGGCAGAAAACTAATCAGCACATAACACCATTGCTGTCCAAATACTAGGCCTGCATGGAGTCACGTCACCAAATGCTTACTCCACGTTGGACTCTATGCACCTGGGGAGCTGGGGAAGACGAGTGCCTCCTGAGGGGAACTTCCGGTCAGTCCCTCCCAGGAGTGTAGACAACAGAACTCTTACAACCATGTGCCCAAAGCATATGCCCTGCTTTAAATCTTTCCTCTGCCTACATGGTTCTCCATGTGGCCACATAGGGTGGTGCCACCCCATTTTTAAAATTTTAAAATTACATTTATTTGTTTGTTCTGGGGTGAGATGCATGGAGGTCAGAGGTTCTGACAAGACTGGATCCGAAGAGCCTGTGCACCTGGAAGCAACAGCGATGGTGTGGGTCCTCTCCCCTGCTGGGGTTTCTCTTGAAACAGCTTGGTACTAGGATGTGGGCAGGAGCAGTTCATCTGGGAAGTGGTCCCAGGAAGTCTGCTGCATAATGGGGAGGACAGGCAGAGCAGGAAGAAAAGCCCACAGAGTGGTCATGAGAAGGCTGCACCATGGGCAAGTGAGACCCGACCCTAACGAGGGTCTGTGCGGCTCCACAGAGACCTGCAAAGCACATCAGCCCTCTGAGGATGGAGTTTGCACATCAGCTCTGATAGTTCACTGGTTGGAGGTTGCCTCTGGGTGGAAGGAGCGTTAATTTTATATTACTTCCAGTCTGTCACATGGGTAGGCAAAGCCTGTTCAGGGACCAGAAGGCCCCTCTGAACTCGGGAATGGGATGATGAGGCCTTTACAGGTGAACCTGGGATCATGGGTTGGGTGCCAAGAGCATCTGCGAAAGCCTTAGCAACTACACACCTGGAAGGGAGAAAGCTCAGGGCGCACAGCCCTGAGTCAGAAGCCCAGGGAGCACAGCCCTGAGAGTCAGAAGGTCAGGGAGCACAGCCCTGGGAGTCAGAAGCTCAGGGAGCACAGCCCTGGGAGTCAGAAGCTCAGGGCGCACAGCCCTGAGTCAGAAGCCCAGGGAGCACAGCCCTGAGAGTCAGGGAGCACAGCCCTGAGTCAGAAGCCCAGGGAGCACAGCCCTGAG